TTGCAAAGCAGATCAGTACGCAGCAGCTGCAGCCCAGCTACGGCTGCTTTGCTTTGTTTGTTCGGGAGTACGTGCACGTTGCTTGCTTGCTGCTGCTGCTGCCGCGTGTTTGCAGCGCGAGGCGTGCAGCAGCAATAACAGCAGGCGCCACGCCACGAACATTGTCTGAAGAGATGCGAAACGCGCGATGACACCGCTGATCTATCATATCCATCAATCGACACGCTTTGTCGGCGCGCCCCACCGTTCAGGCACTGCGCTGGCTGTCAAGCTCTCAGAAGATCCTGCCAAGCGTGTTGGTCTGCTCGAGGCTGGTCCCATCGCTCTCGACCGTGCCGACACAAACACTCCTGGACTGTTTGGCGCAAACCTCGGCACCAATCTCAACTACAACTACACATCCAAGGCGGACGTCGCTCCTGCTGTTGCGTGGCCGCGAGGCAAAGTCCTTGGTGGCAGCTCTGCCCTCAACTTCTTGGTCTGGGACAGAGCCAGCAAGGCAGAGTACAACGCGTGGGAGGAGCTTGGAGCAAAGGGCTGGAACTGGAACAACTTGTACAAGGTGAGCGCTCATGCATGCTTTGCGCGCGCGACATTCTGGTCAATGGCCCGGCACTGATCTCATCCGCTTTCCTCGTCGCTTCGCAACCTGTAGTACATGAAAAAGTCGGAAAAGTTCACTGCGCCTTCCGCAGAGGACCAAGCTGCGCTCAACATCAAGACCAACTCGGCCGATTACGGCAACGCGGGCGCCATCCAGGTATCTTTCCCGCGGTACATTTCGGAGCAAGTCAAGCGTTGGATCCCCGCCCTGGAGGAACTCAAAATCCAGCACAACGACAATCCATTGGCAGGCGACAACAAAGGGGCATCTGTTCAGCCCAGCGACATCTTGCCCAGCAACTCTACCAGGAGCTACTCTGCCACCGCATACTTTGCTCCTGCTAGCTCCAGACCCAACCTCTCCGTCTTACCGGGCGCCACCGTTCAGCGCATCGTCTTTTCCTCTGTCAGGTCTACTTCAGGCAATGTTGTTGCCACCGGTGTCGATTACACGCACAGCGGTCAAAAGTTCACCGCTGCGCTCGTCAGCAGTGGTGAGGTCATCGTCAGCGGCGGTACCGTCAACACCCCTCAAATTCTCGAGCTGAGCGGTATCGGACAGAAGAAAGTGCTGCAAAGCGCGGGTATCAAGCAGATCGTCGATCTTCCAGGTGTGGGGGAGAATGTTCAGGACCACGTGTACACTGCTGCAGTCTGGAAGCTCAAGAACGGCACGGTCACGCTCGACTCTTTGCGCAACGACCCCGCCTTTGCGGCTGACCAGCAAGCTTTGTATGCCAACAACCAGGTGTCCATCCTCCAAGAGACCGTCCCTGCCATTGCCTACCTCACCTTGCCCCAACTGGTCGGCAAAGCCAAGGCGTTGAAGCTCGTTGCCAAAGCTGCTGCGTACGTCGCATCTGCCAATGTTCCCTACAAGGCCAGCCTCTGGAAGCAGCTTGAGCACCTGACCAAGAGATTGGACAGTGTCGCTCAAATGGAAGTCATCGGCATCGATGGCTTCTTTGCCCCCGGTGCTCCTCAAGCAGGAGTCAACTACGTCACTTTCCTCGCTGCTCAACAGCACAGCTTGTCTCGCGGTAGCATCCACGTGCAAAGCAGCGATGCGTCCAAGGCTCCCATCATCGACCCCAAGTACTTTACTGCTGACTGGGATCTCGACGTCCTCACCGCTGGTACTTCTTACCTGCGCAATGTTGCCAACACCAAAATCTACAAGGCTAACGGCTTCGTCGAGAACGAGGTTCTGCCGGGACAGGGCGTTGACCTGACCAACTACAGCAAGCAAAACGTCGTCACCGAGTACCACCCCATCGGCTCTGCCAGCCTGGGACCGAAATCCCAAGGAGGAGTGGTCGACTCTTCCCTCAAGGTCTACGGCACCCAGAATGTTAGAGTGGCGGATGCCAGCGTGATTCCTATTCACGTCTCGGCGCACATTCAAGCAACGGTGTACGGCATTGCGGAAGCAGCGGCTGCCATCATCCACAACAAGTGGACGTACTTGCAGTAAGAACAGCAAATGACCTCCCCAAAAGTCACTTGCCTCAACCTGCTCCGCAGCTCTGCTAGACTCGATTCCTCAAATCCGCTCTCCCGTGAACATGTACCCGTGCTCCTCTTTTCTTGCATCATAGGTAAGGTCTTTGCCACCACCCGACCGAAAACCTCGCTGCTGCTGCTCTTGGTCTTTGCTGTGCTTTGCGCTACACACTGCTTGCAATTCCTTTCGTTTCTAAGAGCTGTTTCCCACGGTCACACACCACGCTGCATCTTGCAATGTCAAAAGCTCCTCTTACGATACCTGCTCCCTCGACATGTTGTCTATGAGTAGCTGCTGAAATGTCATTGCTAAGGCCTTGCACTCCCATACGAGCTCGCTCGCGGATGCGCCCAATGAGCCTTGAACCAAGCTCAGACAAATCAAGGCAAGCTTCAAGGCTTCACTCTGCCATTCCTCGTCGGTGTCGTTAGAGGCCTACGTATCGGTCCTGCTGGACAGGTGCGTTCGCCGCACGATCGATAGATATCTAAGCTACCTTTTTTAGCGTGATGACGGTCCTGCTGGGCAGGTAGACCTGGACAAAGTTGCGACGTCCATTCCACTCCAAAGGAGTGGTGAAGAAGCGACTTTGCGCATGGTCGATTCTGCCGTGTCCTCCGAAAGCCTTTTCGTCGCTGTCCAGAGCAATGACGTACTCGCCAGGTACATCGACGCCGACGCGGTAGTCTAGAGTGCCCCCCAAAATCAACATGAGAGGCTCAGCGCTTGGACGACTAGGAGAGTGCAATTCGCCGCGCGCATCACTCACCAGTGTAGCTGTTGGTAGCGTGGAAGTTGAACACAAAGACCAGACCAGCTCTCTCGAACGCGACTACCCTGTCGCTCTCGTGCTTCAGGCTCACGTAAGCTTGAGCGGCGGCTAGCCACTTGTATTGCTCTTCCAGATGATTCATGCCCTTGTCCCACGCCTTGAGGTACTTGTAGCGCAGAAGCTCGTCATCTGCCAAATCGAAACGCCGAAGAGCGTGCGCAAAGCTGTTGCCATTGCCTGGGATGAGGGGCCGCCGAGAAAAGTCAGCGAGATCAGTCAGAGAAACGGCTCTACATGTGCATGTGCAGAATCCTCACCTTCGCGAGGAAAGTCCAACCATTCGGGCTCGCCGTGCTCGTTGCCGATGAAGCTCAGCCATCCTTCTCCGCCCAAAGCGTGGGTGATGTACCGAATCATCTTATGCAGCGCCAAGCCTCGATCGATGATCGGCGTCCTCTCTGTCAAATCAGACATGCTGGATGGGCAGAGAGTGCGAGAGAATGGTTAGGCGGTGGTGAAGCAGATGCAAAGCCGACCGAACTGCACCCACTTGGTGTACATCTCTTTGTCCATCAGCCAGAAGGCGATGGTCTGACGAGAAAATACACAACACATATCAGCTAGGCCGAGCGCACATATTTACATCAAAACGCTGCTCACCTTGTCGCCGACCAGCGCCTGATCGTGGCTTTCAGCGTACGCGATGCTCTTTTCAAGATGCCGACGATTTGTCAGGGTGAAGCAGATGTTTGCAAAGTCCCAATCCTCATCTCTAGTCTCCTTGAGCAACTTGATCCACATGTCCGGCACGGCCATGCTAAGCCTGTAATCGAATCCGACACCACCTTCTGACGTTGGTCGGCAGAGCGCTGGCATGCCCGAGACATCTTCCGCGATTGTAGTCGCTGAGGGCAAGACCTCCTTGATCATTTGGTTGGCCAACATGAGGTAGACGACGCCTTCCACATCGACTGAGGGTCCAAAGTACTCGTGGTAGCCTCCGGAGAATCCAGTGCCAATACCGTGATGACTGCAAAGCTTGCGAGGTCAGCCACATCACCACATTACGAGGCGATGCATCGAGAGAGTCCTGCTCACTGGTAGAGAATGCTCGTCACTCCATCAAATCTAAAGCCATCGAAGCCCTGTTCCAGCCAGTATCTGCAATTGCTAAGCAAGAATCTCAACACCTCGTGACTGCCATAGTTGAAGAGTCGGGAGTCCCAAAGCTCGTGTCGACCACGTGCGCCCTCATGGAAGTAAAGATGGTCCGTGCCATCGAACATGTTGAGCCCATCCAAAACGTTCTTGCAGGCATGCGAGTGGACGATGTCCAGCAGTACCGTAATGCCCAGCGAGTGGGCCACGTCGATCAGCTCGTTCAGCTGCTCGGGAGTGCCTGCGCATCAAGTAACGAGATTTTGGTGATCAGCGCTTGAACTTGTGTGCGCGCGCGTGAGCAGGCCAGTGCTGGGATTCACCGTATCTGCTACTGGCTGCGAAGAAGTTGGTGACTTGGTAGCCGAAGCTCGCGTAATAAGCATGCTCTTGGACAGCCATGAGCTGAATCGTGTTGTATCCCAGGTCCTTGATACGCGGCAGCACGTTTTTGGCTGCATTGGCAGGACGCGCCCCATCAGCATCGTTTGTGCGCATCTAGTGTCAGGTGCGCCAAACCGACTCACTGAATTCTGGGTAACTTCCCACGCGTGGCTCTGGTGTCGCGATGCCTACGTGCGCTTCGTACACCTTGATATTGTCTGGCTTGGGAGGTCTGGGATGCTTCATCTGGTATCTCTCCGCTGCTGGGGGATTCCAAAAGATGGCGTCATAAACAGGCGAGACGGATAGGTCCTGTGTGACTCGTCTGCGAGAGTGGAAGGAGGATGGGTGTGTGTGCGTTGAGCTTCTCACCCGGGACCGGCCGGCCTGCGCTTCTGTGTGGTCGCCTTGTGTGGTCGTATGGACAACGAGCCGAAAGATGGTCGGCTTGTCAAGCAGTCCACTCACTTGATCCAGGCTGGCAACCGCTCGATCCGCTCGCCGCTAGATGTGATCATGGAGATCTTGACCTTGCTTCCGTGTGGGATCACAGCCTGCCCATTTTGACCTTTCAGCACCACTTCCCACACGCCAAACTCGTTCTTCTCCAGCGGCGTGGCTTCTCTGCTCCATTGATTGAAGTCGCCAATGAGCGCGGCGGAGGTCGCGCCAGGTGCCCATTCCCTGTACAACACATCACCCGTTCTATCGTCCACATTGAATCCAAACTTCTCGTAGCCTTTCGAAAATTGAGCCAGACCCCCTTCTGTCTGTCGGATCTTGTCGACCCATGATTTGAACAAGGAGTAGCGGTCTCGAAGTGCAGGCGCAAATGGCTCTAGCCATGGATCCAGGCCAATCACACCGGTGCCATCCGTGGCTTTGGTATAATCTGTTGGGGCAGACGCCGCCGTCCCATTGGCTTGACCAGTTGGAGACATGGCGAATTGCAGAAAGGACCTACGATAAGGTGAGGTGGCGTGAGACAGTGGAGAGGATGGACGTGCGTTGCCTTCCTCACCCGCTACACGAAGGGGTCAAATGGGAAAAGGTAGAAGAGAGTGTCGTTTCAGAACCGCGATGTTTGTGGGGCATGGCTCACCTTTCTGCGCAGATTCTTCAAGGGGCAAGTCACCAGCAGG